TGATACGAGCCAGATGGAAATAATAACTAAAAATCATTTAGCCGGGTATCCGGATCACAGAATTCGTGACTTTTTCACTTTATTTACTGCAATAATCAGGAAAACCCGGAAACGCCAAAAGACCGTTTATCGCATTAAATGAGACATGTTAGGAGGGGAAATAAATCGCTAAACCAAAAGTTAGGATCTGCACAACTGTCGTGTTTGTAACCTACTCACATCTGTAAGGCAGTAAATACCAAAATCACACAAGTCACCATAAAGAACTACATGGTGATATTGAGAAAGTTATCTTGCTGGGATCAAACTGTAATATTCTTTGAAATAAAACGAACCTATTCGTTACGCGTTGACGCCTTGGAGCCCGCTTCTAGAGTTAAAACATAGGAAAACCTTCTAAACATAAACAGAAAACAGGAAAGTATTAACCCTGAATGATTAGAGGTTTATTATAAGATCCTGTTGCTAATGCAAGGGTATTGTTGATTTAGTACCAAAATCGAGAGGAACGAATGCCGGCGGGCATTCCGGGTTGCAAGAATGAACACATCACATCTAGAAATTACAACTCAAATTTTCGGAATATCTGTGTACTTAAACAGCAGCTTCAAATGAGGAGATACATATGTGCAAACGGGCACGAGTCAAACACTCCAACTTACAACGTGCTGGATGACCGTACTGGTGGAGCTGGAGCAATTTCACGAGGTACAGCAGAATCGCTCATTAGGAATGTGGCGGATGGAGGAGAGAGATGGTTAATATCAGTTCCAGCTACACATACGGGATTTCCGGGAGCATTGGTAGTTTCACTAGGGCTATCCGAATGTTTACCAAGACTATCGGACATTTTGGAACAGATCACAGAATAAGACACATGGCAGCACCAATAACTGCATTATAAGTTGATAGTAATTCCGCGGCAAATAAGTGAATTGGTGGACAAAATTAGTGTAATTCGCACATAAACAACGAAAATCCCCAGGTAAACATCGCGCGCCGCGGGCACAAAGGGTCGAAGGCGCTTAAATTGATGCCATAAAACAACACAAATCAGGTCAGGTCAGCTCTTGAAGTCTTGAAGTCTTGAAGTGATTCACGTGTTCAAGACTGTTGCCCAAATGTCCCGGGGCCTTGGAGGGTATCTGTGTTTTCTTTTGGCTTGGATTACTTCTAGAACAGAGAGTACTGAAAAGGGATTAGTAGGGTTCCCCGCTCGAGACGAGAAATAAAATGAAGACTTGCGAAACTCTTACATAATTCGAAACGTTTATTTTAATTGGGGGAGAGTAAATGAACCTAAGTGGCGGTCAAGACGAAGTTTGAAGACCGCTTTGCGGGGGGCGCTGACTATTTCTTCTGGAAGGTCATTCCATAAGGATATCACCCTGAAGGTAAAAAATGAGGTACGTAGACCGGACGGGGCTTAAAGATTTTTTTGCTGTGCCCTCGGGTAGGCTGAGAGCCAGCAATGACTAGGCTTGAAGATTTTTTTGCTGTGACCTCAGGTAGGCTGAGAGTCAGCAATGACAAAAAAGGTTTCGACAGTGCCCGTGTCGAAGAGCTTGAAGATTTTTTTGCTGCGCCATCGGGTAGGCTGAGAGTCAGCAATGACAATAAAGGTTTCGACAGTGCCCG